TCGAATCAATTCAGGCCCAGGCTTTTTGAATGTCTGTCCCTAGCCTATGAGTACACACACATGTTACACTTACATTGACCTAACTAGAGTTAGGTCGATCTAAATGCCCAACTATGCAAACATTCAGGAGGGTTTAAATCAGGGGTGGGCAATTATTTCAGGTGGAGGGCCACTTACTGAGTTTCAGCAAGCCATCAAGGGCCACATGACAGGCAGCCAGGGACAGATATATATTAATTTTCTAAATTTTTAGGGGCCCCATGGGCTGGATAGAATGGCCTGGTGGGCCGCATTTTGCCCACCCCTGGTTTAAATTGTGACAAAAATGACAGGCCTGATTTAAGTTAGTTCATTTGAATAGGCAAATTAACTTAGGTTGGGAACAGGTTAGCCTGATCCAACAGATGTCTGCACACATTCAGAACACAGCTTTAGAGTTGGGAAAACCTAGCTGCTCAGTCCAGCCCTGGAGCTGCATTCTTGGCACTATCAAATGATTGTACACACCACTCCCAATCTACATGTGATCACAGATCAGGTACAGCAAACATTTATATGCACTAGGGGTGTGCGAAGCAGGCAGTATTCAATTCAGATTCAGCCCAATTCGGGGTACAGTGATTCAATTCACTGATTCAGATCACTCTCCTGATTCAATTCAGCTGAATCTGAATCTGAAGATTCGATTCTGATTCTGAGAATCAGCGATTCATCCATAGACACAGCTTTTTATGTTTTTTCTATGTACTTCGAGGTACCAGGCACCACTTGTGAATACTAAGATGTTGGGGCGGATGGAGCATCCCATGGAAGCCACTTGGCGGAGGACCCGGAATTGGATCGGAAGTACTTTTGCAGATCTCCCCATGCCCTCCTGGCTCAGCGAGCAACTACGGGGGGACCCTGGGTGTCCCCCGCCCCAGACCCAGGAGGCACCAGTCACCGAGCTGGGGCGGGGGGTTCCCTGTGCACTCTGTGGTAGACCCAGAAGTGGACTGGAAGTACTTCTGGTCCACTTCCAGGTCTGCCGCCAAGCCTGCACTCCGATGGGACACTCCCTCTGCCCCACTATCTCATCTTTCATGAGCCATGCCTGGCACCTCGAGGTATGTAAAAAAAAACATATAAAGCTGTGTCTATGGCCAAATCATCGAATCTCTCCAAATCAAATTGGAAGCTTCTGATTCAATTCAGAGAGATTAATGGGTCTCCTGATTTAATTCAGATTTGGAGATTTGGCTACCAAATTGGGCCAAATCTCCTCCAAATCGAATCAGTGACTGAAGCTTCGCAGAGCCCTAATACACACTATGTATGGCATGACTCTGGTACCTGCACATGGTGGAACTTCTGTTTTTTTCTAGTTTTCTTTTTAAACAACTGGTTTACATAACCAACAATAAAAAAATCTTCAAAAATAATTTCATAGTTATAAACAAAGTCAATATTATGAATTGGAAGATGCAACATAATACTGCTTCATATTTTGCACATCTTTTTCAAATTGTTTTTTTTTCTGCCATGAAGTAGCAGATTTGAAGGTTGATGGACATACATATTTAAAATAGTTTAGCTGTGCATCGACTACCACGGAATATTCATATTCAGTTATCACTTTAAAAGTTTCCCACTTGAAAATAGCAGACCTAGACAGAAAGAATTTGGCAACCTGGACAGGAAAAACCAAACAGTCGTATAAGTAAGTTCCTTTGAAATAAAAGGGTATGGAGACTTGTCTTCATGCTAATTCTAATTTGTCCTTTGTATTGTGTGGCACAAATTGATGAGGTTGCATTAATAGAACTCTAAATCTTCTGTGAGAGGCTATCTGTTCTAACAGAGGTTGGAAAAATCCTCTTTGTCTAGCTATCACTTAAAGATGAATTTCTAGTTAAAATCCTCTTTTTATCCTTTCTCTCTCTTTTTAAAAAATGGAATAAACATAGCCAGAGTAGGAACTAAACTTTTGATTTCCCTGATCTGTAGTACAAAATAGACTTTTGAGAAGCATCTTTCAATATTAAAAAGAAGGACAATTTTCTCTGTGCTATTACTCTTCATTATATTAACAGGTGTTAATGCATGAGATCAACTGAGATTTTTTTAATTGTTTATTTCATTATTGTCCTGGAGTCTTTATAAGACCAAGTTATGAATTCAAGGTTTTTTTTCTGGTAATTTGATTTGCATGTGAGCAAATCAACAT